TGGGAAGTTATATTTAGAGTGAAAGATCTGCTCGACAGATAGAGAATAGAGAGAGAGTGATGGTTAAGCTTAATTTGGTTTAGTTGGAACGAAGAATTAAGAAAGAAGCATAATCGAGTAATCATGTGAAATTCGTCGGTGCGACAAGAAAAGGATGAAGATGACAGTTAATCTACACTTCATAACGATAGCCTTGCTTGGTCCATCAATAACTATATACTAAAAGACACATCAATAATGACACGTGTCATCTCTGATGTGTCCTTAGTGATTTTTTTGTATTATTTTTTTTTAAATCTATAATTTAAGGTAACAATTTATCAAAAAAAAATAATATTATTTTATATACACGTTCCATATTAATACGTAGTAATTATTATATTTAAAATAAAAATATTTCACAAATCTTTCTAAAAAAAATTGGACAACTATAAACCAAAAATCATATTCTTAAAATATTTTGTGACCTACTTTACAACAAGAAAAATATTGCTCATTTTTTTTTGCCTACTTTTGTTTTAGTTATGTTATTGACCTTATTGTGTGCATTAGAAGGTACAACTAAAAAATCAACATTTCATATACTTTATTATTACTCAACTAATTTATGATTATAATATTTATCAATAAATAATCTATAATTATATGTAACTGTAGATTACCGTGCATGACACGGGATCTAACTAGTTCACCTAATTATTTAAGAGAATAAGGGATAAATCAAGTTTTTTCTTAAAAAGAAAAATGTGCTTAAAGTTAATCTTCTAATTTTATATAATCTCGAGATTGATTTCATCACCCGCCTTTTGTGTCTCTATTTACCCCTAAGCTTTTGGTTATATTTAGGAGTTTAGTAAACTTATTTTATGTGTATTTTAGAAATGATCTGATCCGATCTAATCTAATCTAATCTGATCAAATCATATATTTAGACTATTGTAAAGTATTTTTTTATTATATAAAATGAATAATAATGAATTTCATCATTTTTTTTAAGAAAAGTATTTGTATGAAATAATAAAATTTGACACTTTTTAAGTTTATTCAAAATACAAAATCACATCATAATAGATTAGACGACATATATTTGGTGTATGAATTTCGATCGATCAATGTTCGATAAATACATGAAATGCTACTAGTTATTAAGATTGATTTAATTAGATTTCAAATTTTCAACTGTGTAAGCTTGATTTAGATTTCAACGTGAAACTTGTGTTGTAAACTTGAAAGCAAGAAGGTAAAAGCAAAACAAACTATTTATCACTTAAAAAAAAAAAAAGGGATCAATGTTAAAAGAATTAGATACATGACCTCAAATCGACAAATTATGATCACGATGAAATTGGCAATTTTGTGCAACCTTGTGAGAATTGACATGTTATCAATATGCTTCTATTTCCAAACTTGGATAGTTCATAACTTCATATCATGTTAATGAACAATTAAGGCTTTGTTAGTTTGATTCAAAATTAATATATCTAAACCTATCTGTTTCAACTTAAGATATGGGTTGATCTACTTTATTTTAAGTTATTCATTGTAATCGAACTTGTTTTGGCTAACTTATTTTTTTATACGGAATGCTAAAGTTCTTTGCTAAGCCGACTTAATTTTGGGTGAGTTTGGACATATTTTTAATGGTTGCTTTTGGCAGGTTTGGGTACTTTGTAGATTTATTTTTTCATTTAGAATATTTAGTGTGATTAAATATGTATGATTATGTACTTTTTATTCAGGTGTTTAACTGTTAGGAAATGTGCACCAGTGAATATATAGGTTCATAGGTGTTGAAGTGTAACTTTCTAACAGCGCATGTGATTTAAGTGTTCTGCATTGATGTAAGAAGAAAGAGCTAAACACTTAAATTATGATCTAAGGCTAAGGTGCTACATAATCCTCCTATTGTCATACAATTTTGAAATGAAACCTCCTTAAACTTATTGATTAAAATCCAAATTTCTAGTGCACCTTTAATCAAATCATAACACGTATTATAACATGGAGGGAATAAAGAGAGAGCCCGGAAAAACAGCCACATCATAGTCAAGAAAAGAAGACACGTATAGTTATGGTTATATGCATGTCTTACAGCAAGCATTTTCTATACCTTCTTTCACTATGCCTAGGTGCATGCTCCACTCTAGTTTAAGTTGAACTCTCTAGCAATTCTCAAAAATTATACAAAGTTATTTTACTAGTTTTTGAAAACTTAGAACAAAGAAAAATGAAGGTTGTGTCACCAATGATGTTGGCTCTTATGTTAAGAGAGAAAAGACCTGCTAATAATACTATGATTAACTATGATTTTGTGAAAAATAGGACTCAACAACAACAACATAGATTGATGGGAAGAGCTAGCAATCGGTCCGGGGTCCATGGCACTCATCTACCTGCTACAGATGACATTGATAATGTATGTTATTACCTCCTTATTAATTTGTTACTTTCTCCTTTTCTGATTCATCTTTTTATATACAAAAAGCGGGACAGATGATTTGTTTAGCAACAGAAGGTGTATTGTTCATATATACTTCGTATTACCGGTCCTTTATTATTGTATAAGTAGTAACATACTAGAAAATCTATGGTATTTGAATAAGAAAATACTGACCGATAGAGTAGTATATGCAACTATTAATCCCTAATTTTCGTTGTAGGTGGAAGTGGAGAAGGAGATCAAGAAAGGTAAAAAGGATAAAGAGGAGAAGAGGAAAGAAGTTGAGGAAACTGTTGACTCACACCTTAGCCGTTCTGGTCAAGATCAACACCCCAAGTCTTCCCCTACCAAATAGTTCAATTTCTTTTTTTCTTTCTTTTTTTTTTAATTTATTTTATTTACAAAAATCTTTTTCCATTCTAGAATATGCAAGTTTCTTTGACTTATCTATGTTTGGCATGCATGTGCATAAAAAAAGTCATGCTTAACAAGAAATTGTAAATTTGAACCAAATTTCTCCAATCTCCATAATATAAGAAATAATACTTGTATGCTCTTTTCATCTTTATGGTTCATAAAGGTGTGAAGGTTGACAGTCTAACACATCGTGCTACCATCATATTACACTCCGTATATATAAACCAAGTAGTCCATATGTGAGTGCTTTATACTTAAAATCAATTTGGAATTATTAATTGTTGGATCTCCAATAATTATCAATATTAATGAAAACAAATCGAGCTCATCAGATAGAGGTATGTAGTGTTCCTAGGTTAACACTTTTTTTTTAAAAAAAAAAGAAATAGAACTTGCAAAAAAAAAAAAAAAAAAAAAAAAAAAAAAAAAAAAAAAAAAAACACTAGGACTAGAGGTGACAAATAGTTTGTTTAAATCGGATCTATTCATCAATAGATTATACATATCTAGGTAAGGAAAGTTGCAAGTTGTCTAAGATTAATTCAGGTAAATGTTGTATAAATTTGAGTATAAGTTAGGTCAGGTCAGTTTCTAATCATTCAATATCGGCGGTACATGTTAGATTTGGACCTCTAATCATCCAATTTTGGTCACAGTTTAAGTCCATCATGTCAATTTTGCGAAAAATATGTTCTTATTGTACCTTGAGCTTCATTATTATTAGGTCAAAATTTACTACTTTGTATATTGTTTAAAGAACGGTTAATGATAATATATTGTCTAATTAAGAAATGAGGGTATGTAGCTCCCAAGTTGGTACAATGGCACACACATGCACACTCGAAAAGCCACTATTGCAAGTGTGCAATTAAATAAAAATTGCATCATTTAAACTAGTAAAACTACAAAATAGGCCCTAGCAAATACTCCATACGGAGTAATTAATTCAAGTAATCAGGTTAACCTAGGATATTTAATAATAATAAACACTAAAAAGTATGAAAGATAATATAGAAACGTACCAAAAAAAATACAAAACGCAACTAATCAAATTGGCGGCCTATGTACCCATCGATGATCAATGATGGCTAAAGATTAAAGAAGCTCCGTATATTACTATAGTACTTGCTTAAGTCATTCTCAATTTGTTTATTTAAATTTGATTATTCTAGTTGACTTTTCAATTTATTGAACCTTCTAATTTTGTTCTTCTAAATTTACCATTCCATATTCATCAAAATGTCAATTAATTTCTCCTCTATGTTTCTAGTCAAAATACAAGACTAATTCAATTTTTATTTTCAAAGTTGGCCTATTTGGCCATATGTATAGTAGTTTCCACTTTGTCCACCAATATTCAGTTAATTTGACCCTTTTACAAAATCATAGCTATATTATACATCATACGTAGTACATGATATAAATTCCCAATTTCATAAGCCTGATTTAAATTGCTTCTCACTTTCCTTTCTCTTGGAAAAAATTTGGAAAATTATTGCTGGGAAATTTCCTCTGTTTTTCTTGCTCTCCAAACTTTCGCAAAATTTCAACACATATAAACCCCCCTTATTATTACTTTTTTGTACTTAATTTGAGTTCAAACAATTTTTTTTATATGGGTTTTGCTGGAATTCTCACAATTTTTTTCAATCTGGGTTGTGCTTTTTGATTTTATAAAATTCAAAAATTCCTTTCTGGGTTTTATTCTTCTCTTCAAAATCTCATTTGGGTTAATCTTATTTTACGTTAATTTTGTGTATTTTAGTAGAATTGATCAATTATTACAAGCTAAAAAGTGTCAAAAATGGTGGGTATGGATGGAATGTCACCATCTTCAACGAATGATGCAAACTGTATATGCAGCAGCTTCAATATCAACACAAATTATGATTGCAACTGTAATAGTCCTCTTCTTTGTAGTAGCCCTTTGTTTCTTCCTTCATATGTATTGAAAGTCTAACTGGCTAATACAAGAGGGGGGGTGAATTGTATTTGAGGTGAAATCTAAAAACTTTTTGCGGAATTTAACTAAATGAAATAGTGACGAGAGAAGATATAGGCTTTTCTAAATTTCCACTAAGTAATCAAACTCTTTACAAGTGAAGATTCAAACCCGTTCAACAAGTTCCACAAATTAGGAACTTGTTCCCAACTCTCACAGAAGACTTCAGCAACGAAGCTTCCTTGACCTCACTTTACAAACTCACAATCCCAACCCCTAAGTACTTGAATACAAACTGTGATTACAAATACCTATTGCACTCAAGAATATAAGAAGGATAATAACTCTCTTTATGTTATTAGATAGCTACTGGAATTTTTATGCTTAAGAGTTATATCTTTCTGAGATAGTTTGCATGAGTATTTATAGAGAAGGCTTAGTCATTAACCTCCACTATAATCACGTCCACATGCCAACAACCCACTAACAACTTGTGGAGTTATCTTGACAGATGGTAATCATGAAGAGGTTTCCTAGCCTTATCTAATTAGTCCACTATCTTAAACAACTTGATAATCATTAGCCGTATAAAGATTTTCACACAGAAAAACCGCTTGCTATCCTTATCAAATATTTGTTTAAAAAGATTATCAAAAGTTTGTTTAAAAAGATTTTATTTGAAAAGATAAATTTATTATTTATTAAAACAACTAGATAATTATCTTCGATAATTATCTTTATTAAAACTTTTACAAATTATCTTTTCTTTAAGAAATTATCTTTTAAAACTAACTTTTATTCCAGTAGTCTTTTTAACATAAGTCATTGAGTTCCTTTCCGACTTTATAATATTGAGTGCTCACAATTAAAACTAGAACGTGAGATTTGCACGAGGCTTTTTAGAGAATGCTACTCCGCATCCAAGTTCCTACTCCGGAACGAACTTTGCTTGAATCCTTTATTCACCAAAGACTCAAAACATTCATTAGTCGAGTTTGTCAATTTGTCCATCAAAACCAAAAGGCTCAACAAATTCCCCCTTTTTGATGATGACAAACATTGACAAACTTAGGTAAATAAAATCATCCAGGCATGCAACAAAAATTTAAAGTAAGGCATGAAAACAAAAAAAAACAATTAAAGAACTTAGAAAAATATTAAAAAGTTTTTTTTTTTTTTTTTTTTTTTTTTTTTTTTTTTAAAAAAAAAAAAAACTGAGCAAAAGAAAAATTAACAAAGACTTTAAAAACTGAACTTAGCAAAAAGTTTGTACCTTCGATGTGTGAGTTCCTTGGTAAACACTTTAGCCGCCATTGAAGTTTGTCTTTTCCCCCTTTTGGCATTATCAAAAGATTGAAAAAAAAAAACATTTTGCTATACTCCCACTAGACTACGTAGGGAATAGTGAGCTCAAATAATGCAAGGCAAAAATAAGTTAGGTACTAAATCATCAGCAACCTCACACAATCATATGAAAAATACGAGCCAAGTTCCGATTTAGGAAATAGAAGAGGAACATAGAGAATGTAGCAAAGGATAAAGGCGTACAAACCACAGTTCAGAGAGATTAAACAAGACCAAAATAAAATTGTTCAACATATGAAATTAGAATAAGTGCAATCAAGGATTTAAAAGGCTGCATTGGTAGGATCAAGGGTTGGATTTGTGGGATCAATAGAGTCTTCCTCGACTTCCTCAAAGGCTACTCTGTTGATAGTTTCCAAGATCTCCTTGTTGCCTTCACTAAACTTGCCTTCAGCCTGTGCAAGCTTTGCCTCTACGCCTGCAAATCCGGTTGCTTGAGAATCTGCCAGAGCCTGCACCTGGCCTTTAAGAGAAAGCAGTTCCGAGGCCATTTCCTCCAGTTTCTTGCTCACCAGAGTAGTCAACTTCTCCATATCTGCTTGAACCTGTTGAAAATCATAAACAGACACACGAGTTCCAGAGAAAGCAGCAAAGCCAGTAGGCTGAAATGGAGGAGGAGAAGGTGAATGAGGAGGCTGCCTAGTAGATGAGACAGGAATAGAAGAGGGTTCAATGGCAAAGGGGACTTGGGTAGGTTTGAAGGTGGGATCAGATTTGTCTGAGGAGCTGATGGTTTCTACAGTCACAGGGTGTGTAGTAGAAAGGGCAGGCTTGACCACATTCCTCTTACTTCTTCTAAGGCCCCCTGTAAACACAGGAATGACAGGTGGTCCAGCTGTGCTCTCAGAGTCTGTGGTATGTTCCCCCTCACTTTGATCAGTTCCCTGCCCCTCATGTGAGTCAGATTTTCGAGCTTCCCCCTCAGAAACTTCCTTATGTTCCCCCTCAGAATCTTCCTGTTTTTCTCCTTGCACATCTCCCTCAAGTATTTTTTCTTTGTTTTTCTCTCCGTTAGAACTTTTTTCTTCTTCCTTATCTCCCTCAGAATCACTGGAGGTGGTAGCACCCTTACTAGCAACCTCACTACCCTGGTCACTGCCCTCCTCATCACTTGCGTCACATTCTTCCTCAGCTTCTTTCCCTTTCCCTTTCTTTTTCTCCCCTCCTTTCCGAGGCACAAAACATACTTTGCCATTTGTAAGCCTAAGACTCAGTCTAAGTAATGATTGTTCAGAGAGGATATTATCGGGTTTGAGATATGTTGGGGATTCACATTCAACATCAATACCAAAAGATTTGACCAACACAGTAAGGAAAGAGCCATATGGAATTGTGGTCTTTTGAGCATAAAAATTCAAGTGTTCAATCATTAGAGCAGGGAAATTAATCTGTATTTTGCATGCAAGACAGAATATGAGGGAGTCATCCAAGAGTGATACGGTACTCCGTTTTTGTAAACGGCGGTACTATACCCTTCCAGGTGAAGGTAAACAGTAGCTTATGAAGGGGTGTTAGGGCATGATGGTGAGTAGTTTTCACTTTCGGATTTCCTCCAATAAATTGAAGGATTTTGCATTCATCATTATGGCCAATATTTACAGATTGTTTGTGCTTTAAATAAGAACAATAGCCTTTAACAGGAACTTGAAATAGATTTCCAAGATAATTGGCATCAAACGAAATTGGAATATCATTAACTACGGCCGAGCACACACCATTATCACATTGAAAGGTATTTTTGAACTCATAAATAAGTTTAGGATAAACAGGGTAATGAGAACAATTCTGGAACAAGTGAGTCCATTTTTGATAATCAATTAAAGAAGTAAATTCAGTGAACTTACTCGCCACACACCAATCATAGTTGATGTGATATCCGAGAGTGTAATTCCATGATGGGAATTTGGTGGTTGCGCGCCGTTTCCTGTCGCCGCCCTTCACAACCTTAGCCTTCCTCTTTGGCTGAGCAGATGGATGCACCATCGCAATTGGCACCGGTTGTGGAGACCCCGTGTTTGAGGAGGGTTTGGATGGTGGTGATCGGGTTTTTGGGGTGGTGTTTCGGTTGGTTTTCATGGTGTTGAAGGTAAAATGAAGGGAAGGAGAAGATGAATAGTGTGAATAGGAAGGAGAGAGAGTGAGGCTGGTTATGGGAGTTTATGGGGAGTTTAATTGATTTGATAGGTGAAGGTGGAGTGAAAAGAAGAAGAAGAGTTTAATTGGGAGGAGTGAGAAAGAAAAATGACGGTTTAAAAGGTGAGGTAGTGGAGTAGTTTTAGAGGTAGTAGGATTTAATTTGGTGAAATAATTGCACTCATCTAATTCAATGTTGATAAAATAAAATCGTAAGTTAAGGAGTTGATATACATGCTTCTTATCTTACGTAACAAATAAAAGCAGAACTGAACAAAGGAAAATAAGGAGGAAAAAAAAAGATAAAAATATGAATAAAAGATAAGAATAAAAGATAAAAAAAATAAGGAAGGCAAAAAAGATAATAATAGGAAGGAAAACAAATTAACAATATAAAAAAAATGGTAAGTGCAAATGGATTGTAAATTATGATGATAATTTACGTGATCATAATACAGAGAATAAAGAATGATGAAAAGGGAACTTGAAACAACATGGCTCAATATTTTTTAACATATTAAAAGTATGTATAAGTGACTTTTCAATACTTCACAAATCTTTTCCCTGGGTAATTTCAGCTGTGTTATGCACACAAGATTGAGCATAGCATTGTTAGTTACATCCGATTTTACCTTAGGGGTTCCAAACAAAAAATCACTTTAGCCGTAGCATCCCCAATTCCACACGCATCTTTTCAAACTTGTCTCTGCTTAAAGGCTTAGTTAATATATCAGCAATTTGACATTCAGTAGAAATAAAATCTAGCCTAATTAAGCCCTTTTTCAAGAAAGTCATAAACATATCAAAAGTTTCATCTTTACTATGTAAGAATATGACCCATGTAAATCTAGAATAATCATCCACAAGAACTAAGACATATATTTTTCCACTTTCTACTTTGAATTCTAACGGGGCCACACAAATCCATATGAATGAGTTCCAATGGTTTTGTGGTGCTTACCATTTTCTTTGATTTAAATGATGATCGAACATGCTTTCCTTTGATGCAAGCTTCACAAATTTTTGTCATTTAGGAATTTGATAGAAGGTAATCCGATTACCAAGTCCTTTGACCTTAATTTGTCAAGCAATGAAAGACTAACATGTCCAAAACGTCTATGCCATAGAAGTGGATCATCCTCAATAACACTTAAACAGGATAGATTGTATTTTGGAACTTTGTTAAGATCCACGGTATACGTGTTCCTTTACGAGTTTCTTCCAAAACGATTTTTCCAGTGTTATTGTTGATGATTTTGCATTTTTCAGATGAAAAGCTTACAGAGTTTCCTTTATCACAAAGCTGAGATATACTGAGTAGATTATGCTTCAAACCTCGAAAAAATACATTGTCAATTGCATGGGAACTTGACCTTCCTACTTTGCCAACAGCAACAATGTTGCCTTTCTTATTGTCTCCAAAGGTCACTGTTCCCCCTGTATAGGCCGTCAGTGAGAGAAATCTGGATTCATCTCCTGTCATGTGCTTAGAACAACCGCTATCGAGGTACCACTGGTTGTTCCCCCTCACTGCGACCTGCAAAAGAAATTAAGGGTTAGTAGCAGGAACCCTTTCATTCATGGGTTCCTGTGTTGACACATTTAAATCAGATTTCTTCTGCCAAACATAGTTCACATTCTTATTGTACAGATTTGCTTTCTTAGTACATTCTTCACTGCGATGTTCCTTTTTACCACAAAAAGAACAAACGGTCTCACTAGGTAAGTTCACATATTTCTTTTTCTTTCCAGTGGACTTCTTCTTATGAACATAGCCTAGACCTTCTGTTCTTTTTGTCTGAGCTTCCTTTACCCACTTGGGAACACCCGTGCTTGCTGTATTTTTACTTTTTCTTGCAATTTCTAGGTCCTTTTCTAGTTTCTCATTTTTATCATTGGTTTCCTTTATCTCTTTCTTAACATGCTCTAGTTCATTATTAAACATGATTAAAGGAACTTCAGTAGACCTGCAAGAATCAATGTTAGTACACAACATTTTATATTGAGTCAATTCAATATTCAGCATGATATTCTCACTCTTGACTCTTTCAAGGGATTCTTTTAGCATAATATTTTTATCTAACAATTCAAAGAATCTGCCTTGAACATCATTTCTTAAGCTATTCAGATACTTAACATGATCTCTACAAATTCCAGTTGCCTTTTCGGCTTGCCTTAGTTTTGCACATAATTCTTTATATTCATCTAAGGTTTCTAACAATAAAGAGATTAATTTATCCTTTGAGAGAGATTTCAAATAACTAGGTTGAATGACTACCTCATCATCATGCTTTGCCATTAGACAGAGATTGGCTACTTTCATCGTCTGTGTGTTCCTGTTCCTCTTCTTCGGAACTTGATTCTCCCCACGTGGAAATCATTGCTTTCCTGAAATTTGTTTTAGAAAAGTTAGGCTTGGAATTTCTGCTTTGATCAGCTTCTTTTCCCTTGCCTTTCTCAGATTTCCATAATGGACACTCTTTGATGAAGTGGTTGGTGCTTCCACATTTGTGACAAGAAGACTTGGCTTTGGGTTCCTGATTTCTTTTACTGTATCCTTTCTTCTTGTCTAAAAACTTGTTGTTACGGTAGAATTTTTTCAGCCTTCTCACCAACATTGCAGCTTCTTCTTCATCGATGTCAGACTTCTCTTCGGATTCTTCATTAGCTCTTAATGCTAGCCCTTGACTTTTGACAGTCTCCTGAGTCCGATTGTTCGACTGGATCTCGTGAGTAATGAGGGAACCCGCAAGCTGTTCCAGATTGAACTTGGTGAAGTCTTTTGATTCCTGCACCGCTGCAACCTTTGCTCTCCATCTGTCATTGTCTGGAAGACTTCTTAAGACTTTTTCTGACCTGCTCATCTATAGGAATTATCTTACCAAGACACGTTAGTTCGTTAGTAATACTTTTAAATCGAGTAAACATGTCTTTAATGGATTCTTTGTTTCCCATTTCAAAGCGCTCATACTGAGATAAAAGAATATCTATTTTGGAACGTTTAACATCTGACGTTCCTTCATGTGTAACTTCCAGAAGATCCCAAATTTCCTTTGCGGATTTGCACCCTTTGACACGAGTATGTTCATTGGGTCCAAGTCCCCAAATTAGAAACTTTTTGGCAGTAGCATTCATTTCTAATTTTTCGAAATCAGTTTTTTCATATTCATCCATAGGTTTAGGGATTACCTCATTGTTAGCATTCGTTTTCGTAATTTCGTAATCTCCTACTTGTATAATCCGCCATACCTGATAATTCTCTGCTTGGATGAAGATTTCCATCTTATCCTTCCAATAAGGATAATATTTGCCGTTGAAGTATGGAGGCCTTTGAATGGATGTACTCCCGAATTCCTTTTCCTCTGTGTAAGCCATTTTCCCAGGAACTTACTCAACAGGGTTGCCTGCGTGCTCTGAGTTCCCGCTCTGATACCAACTGAAAGTCTAACTGGCTAATACAAGAGGGGGGGTGAATTGTATTTGAGGTGAAATCTAAAAACTTTTTGCGGAATTTAACTAAATGAAATAGTGACGAGAGAAGATATAGGCTTTTCTAAATTTCCACTAAGTAATCAAACTCTTTACAAGTGAAGATTCAAACCCGTTAACAAGTTCCACAAATTAGGAACTTGTTCCCAACTCTCACAGAAGACTTCAGCAACGAAGCTTCCTTGACCTCACTTTACAAACTCACAATCCCAACCCCTAAGTACTTGAATACAAACTGTGATTACAAATACCTATTGCACTCAAGAATATAAGAAGGATAATAACTCTCTTTATGTTATTAGATAGCTACTGGAATTTTTATGCTTAAGAGTTATATCTTTCTGAGATAGTTTGCATGAGTATTTATAGAGAAGGCTTAGTCATTAACCTCCACTATAATCACGTCCACATGCCAACAACCCACTAACAACTTGTGGAGTTATCTTGACAGATGGTAATCATGAAGAGGTTTCCTAGCCTTATCTAATTAGTCCACTATCTTAAACAACTTGATAATCATTAGCCGTATAAAGATTTTCACACAGAAAAACCGCTTGCTATCCTTATCAAATATTTGTTTAAAAAGATTATCAAAAGTTTGTTTAAAAAGATTTTATTTGAAAAGATAAATTTATTATTTATTAAAACAACTAGATAATTATCTTCGATAATTATCTTTATTAAAACTTTTACAAATTATCTTTTCTTTAAGAAATTATCTTTTAAAACTAACTTTTATTCCAGTAGTCTTTTTAACATAAGTCATTGAGTTCCTTTCCGACTTTATAATATTGAGTGCTCACAATTAAAACTAGAACGTGAGATTTGCACGAGGCTTTTTAGAGAATGCTACTCCGCATCCAAGTTCCTACTCCGGAACGAACTTTGCTTGAATCCTTTATTCACCAAAGACTCAAAACATTCATTAGTCGAGTTTGTCAATTTGTCCATCAAAACCAAAAGGCTCAACATGTATGTCAAATGTTTTTGGGCACATAATAATGAAGACCCTGACGTGGTGTCATGGCGCCGCCAATTAGCCGGTCAGCGCCGTGCTGCAGCCGTCCCTGCGCATCGCCGAGGTTTAGACCCTGCCGCGCTACGGTCGTTGCCTATTCTGGTGTACAACCCCAAGGATTTTAAGGATGGATTAGAATGTGCTGTTTGTTTAAGTGAAGTGTCAGAAGGAGAGAAAGCTAGGCTTTTGCCTAAATGTAATCATGGGTTTCATGTTGAGTGTATTGATATGTGGTTTCAATCTCATTCAACATGTCCACTTTGTAGGGATTCTGTTATCTCTACAACTAGTAATTCGTCGAATGATGATGCTAATAATGATCTTGAGTTGCAAGATGATGATGGTTTGTATTGGTCGGATTCTAATTCGGATTCTGATGATGCTACTCCAAGGGCAGCAGATGCACCTAATTTTCCTACAAATGTTCTGTTTTGGGGTGATGAAACTCGAGTTAGCGCGTTTGGACAAGGTGCAAATGCTGCTGCTGATGCCTCTTCATCAGCATCTTCTTCTGGTGTCAATAGGCCAAGATTGGATGAGATGGTGATTGATATACCAAGTCGCGAGTTTTGTGAGGATTGCTTGTCGTCGCCACCACGAGTGGAGGAGGCGAAAACTCCGGTGATGACGAGGTTGAGATCGTTGAGGAGGTTGTTAAGTATGGGACAGGGGAGTAAGGTGGCTCCCTCTAATTGTGAAGTTGATCAACAAGCTTAAACCACAAATATTCAAGTTTGTTGATTGCAATTTGATCATGTATAGATTTTATTTACTCCGTACCAATTTTAACAAATTTATTTACTTGGTATATAAGATGGGTGATTGGTGGTTTTCTTAAATAAAAGATGAAAAACCCCGCATCCTCATAGCCTCATAGCTAGGGTTCTTAGTTTTCTTACAATGATTTATTCTTTTGTTAAATGTAATACTTTAGTTTACCAGCTAGACGTTTTAATGTTCGTAAGAATATATTGCCCTGTGTTATGAAATAGGACCCTTTTTGGGACTTTGAATTTGATTGAGGAACAATGCAAAGCTAAATGAGAAAGCAATTAAAAATGAACAAAATAAAACACACAAGATTTATAGTGGTTCACTCAAAATGAGCTACATCCACTTTTGGGGAGATTGGAGCTTGTATTACTCTTCAATGGAGGAAGAATTACAATGGAGAAAGATGGTGTTCTTGGTGAGCTAATTTAAGATCTAAGTCTCACTTGTGTTTCTCTCTCATACTCTCTACAATGAAAAACAAGAGTATATATAGTGCAAGATGAATCAACGGTTAAGATTACATCCCGAGCAAAATAAGAAGAAATCGCAGCGCTGGAACAGGGGCTCGAAGGTTCGACCGAACCTACCCAGAGTTCGTTCGAACTTAGTGTGGCTCGGTCACACCACCATAGGTTCGACCGAACCTACTCTAGAAATGAAAAGAGCATCAGTTCTGCCTAAAGGTTCGACCGAACCTATTAAATGGTTCGGTCGAACTCCCCCTGCGCGGACAGCACTTCTTTAAACAGCCATAACTCCCTCGATTCTTAACCAAATCAAGCTTATGACCAGTCGTTGGAAAGATTTTGAGAAGAGCTATCACCTCCAACTTGAATCATCTCAATATCACTTCTAGATCTTGAGATATGCTCATTTTAAGTCAGCCCTTTCCATGCTTCTTTGATTAAAGCCCCAAACACCATAATACTAAAGCATATATCAACATGGAGCATTCAAGGCACACATATAACACCCTGTATTTTGTGCAAGACACCATAACTAGGTATGATCTCTTGAGAATCAAGATTATTATTTTCTCATATCCAACATTTTAACTACTACATATATACGTTTGTGGATTTCTTATGAAGCGACACATATACACCCTTAATTTCTAAACATTGTGTATAAGGGTCTGTTCTCATACGATTATTTTCAGTTCAGCTCTAATAAATTCAGCTCAGCTCAGCTCTAATAAGTTCAGTTCAATAATTCAGCTCATTTCAGTCAATGAGAACAGGCCCTAAATACGAATAATATTTTTCTATATTAAAATAATAAAAATAAAATCAAATTCCAATTATTACATTCCTGTCTTCCATCAACATAATTTTGGTATTGTTGGGGATGAATTGGAGCAAACTATAGGATGATTTTAGGCATGTGCATGGTAATCTATTGTACACACAAAGATCCTTACCTCAAATTATATTTTATCTTAGTTTAAATTAGCATGATATTGATAAGATCGAAATTTTCAAACAATTTTTTTTAAAAAAAAATTTAAAAAAAATGTGAGTTTTATACAAGCCTTGTAATTATCCTCCCATATCATTGGACCTACTCTTGTCTTAAACTAAAATCAGTTGCTTTTGCTTGTGGGAGTATAGTTCTTTCATCAGCATATGCATTAATATATTTATCCAATTCAATTTAAATTAGGGGAAGTCATGTCACTTTTAATTTGTTGTGCTGATTTTAAAGTTTATAATGATGTATTAATAGTCATTGCTTTACATAAGAAAATAATTATAATTAAGGGGACGTCATTGTTCTTTTGTTGCAAGTCTTGTAACATCTCTCGCAATTAGGAATTGGTTTGACTGATGAATGGAAATTTGGGGATAATGATCCACATCAACTGTGAAAATGATTGCAAACAGTACTTTTTAGAGGTGATTTTATTTTTAAAAGTTCATGCTAAAAGCCAAGAAATTAAAAAAAATAAAAAATAAATAAATAAATTATACATAAAACTTGATTATTAATATAAATAAAATAAAAATTAGTTTATACTTTATAGATGGCAAATTTGCTACAAACTTTGTTTTAGGTTCTAAAAAAGTTCTTTTTTACCTCTTATTAGAAATCGTTGTAATTGGATAATAAGTATTCGTATCATTTAGGAATGGCTGTTGCCAATCTTGTGACTTAGTCTCACTTAATTTAGTTGATCAACATTTTTGTAAAGAGTTTTGACTTTCTTTAGTCAAATTTTGTATCCAATAATTCGGTCCAACTTGACTATTAATGTCAAAAATGTGTATTTTACTTGGGGAAATTCCCTTCCCTGTTTCTCATGGTGAGAAACAAGATTTGTTTTTCATGGGGGCATTTTTGTGAATAAATCAACAGCTTTTTCATTATTGTGGGTTTCACAATTGAATAAAGTTGTTGATTTATTAACAAAAATACCATGTGAGAAACAAATTTTGTTTCTCATCATGAAAAACTGGGACATCTTCTTTTACTTGGATTGATAACTTGACTATCAATGTCAAAAGGCTGCTCTATAGCAATTAGCAAAATATTGTGCAATTGATTTACCATCTTTCTCCAAAAAAAAAAAAAAAAAAAAAAAAAAAAAAAAAAAAAAGGGGCTCCTTTTAACATAACCTTATTTGGTTGACTCATGTCTAAATTGGGCTAATTATCATTTTAATTAACTCCGTGTTTTGCCAATAATAGACATCACTTAGTTATTGTTCATCTCACAATAATTCCTTCAACCTCTTCCAAACGATCATATGCCTATGTTGCGACCTGATTCGGACCGGACCCGGAATCCTTGAATTTCAAGGAACGGGACTGGACCTAAATCTACAAGTCCGAATCAGGTTCGATTTCGGTCGTTTCAGGTTCGATCTTGTTTATGTACACCCCTATATTACAATACGAGTAATATAACATAGTTTAGAGATCATTCATGTCTACTTATTTAAAAGATACACACAAAAGATATTTTCTACAAATTATTTGACATATAATTATTTCAATTAATTGATGTTCAAAACGTCTAATTTTATTAGACAAATAATTGCTTCAATTAATTGTATGTTCAAAACATCTCATTTTATTAGACATATAATTACTTTAATTAATTGCATATTTAAAAAGTCTCACGTTGTTGACAATGAATTTATAGCTTACAAACTTGTCATCATGACTTAGTTATATACTTCATTTAATCATGCTTTTCCGGAAGAAGTTAATCTACACAATCATCGACTTTACTCATATAGTCAATTTTAATTTATAACCAAAGTTTATTGACATGCACAATATTCATTTTGTAACTTATTCATAGTCCTACAAGAAAAATAAAAACATGTGCCATTGCATTATTGCATTAGTAGTACGAGTAAGTAGTTATAGAAGTACTCCTTTAAAACCACACAAAATAAATGCTTTGGTTCATAGTCAAACTAGTCACAATCAAACTCGTATTTTCTCTAAGTAATTTTAAAAAGCATACAATAATTTTTTTTTAAATAAGAAATCAACTATCATTGCAATATAATCATTTTAAAGTTCTCAACCATTTATTCGAAATAAAAAACTTTACATTAATAATAACTATGGAATATCAAAATTGACAATATGGTTCAATGCATTTGATTATTCATTTTCGTAGGACAAATCTATCCCAACCAACCAAGCAAATCATACACTTTCTACATATCAAAATTTAGTTAAGGTTTTAAGGAGCAGAGTAAACAGTACCATAGGTTTTGGCATCATATTCATGCTCATTAAGCCTCTGTATAATAACATATGGTATGTTATCCTCCCTCTTCCTCTGATTATTGTAGATTTTTCCATTCATGGACATTTGCTCAAAATATTGATACAATCATGGGCTTGTAAAATTTGGGCCACAATCCCAACAGACTACGTTGCACAACATTTTTCTGGGTTTGAGAGGGTAACGCCTTTAAAAGGGGAAGAGGAGAAACGGGGAAGATAAGAAGGTGGCATGGTTGAAAAAGGGGGAAAATAAGAAGAAAAATACTAAAACTGGGGTTTCAAATTCTTGGAAACCATTAATTTCCACCAAATTATGGTTTGGGGGGTTTGGACTTCCCTAACGGCGTTAAATCTGCCAATATCACCATCTGTGTAGAAGGCGTTACCACTTCTACTCAGATTGGTGAGTAATTGTTGGATTTCCCTAACGACTTTAAATCTGCCAATATCACCAGCAGTGTAGAAGGTGTTACAACTTCTACTCAGTTTGTGGGTTTTTTTTTTTTTCTTTTCTTTTGGTAATTGAATATCTGGGAGAGTTTTTGGCATGGATTTGGATGGTAAATTGGTAATAGTTAATAGACATTGTTTTTGCAATTTTCAATTCTTAGTGGATATTGATGGTAATTGGATTATGGAAAGAATTTTTGCAGTAATTGGGTGGTAAGATAGATATTTAAGAATTGTAAATGATGAACGTAGAATTAGTGGAAAAATGAAGGATTTAATTATTTTTACTTGACTGAAATTATTTTTATTTAATACTATTTTTTTTTTTAAAGGTGAAATGAACAGGGCCTAACTCTCACTATAATAATTGGATTAGCAGTAGTTGTAGTAGGAAGGCTTGTATTGAGAGTGGCTTGATGGGTATTTGTATTTGTGTCTTGCATGCACCAATTGAAAGCACATATATTTATTTATACTTGTGCAATGACGGTGGAGCCATGAAGTAAATGTTGATTTGAACATGCTAGATTATTCTAGCATATAAGATTGAATTAAGAAGATAATTCTAGAAAATAGATTTTTTTTCATCCACAATATTGATACAATCATAGGCTTGTAAAGTTTGGGCCACAATCCCAATCAACAGACTAGGGAAGATGAGAAGAAGAATGCTAAAAACGGGGAAGATAAGAAGGTGGTTGAAAAGGGGGAAAATGAGAAGAAAAATGCTGAAAATGGGGTTTCTAATTCTTGGAAACCATTAATTTACACCAAATTATGGTTTGGTGGTTTGGATTTCATTCCCTAAGGGCGTTCACTGTATGGTTTCTTCCACCCAGATTTGCCAAAATCACCAGCTGTGTAGAAGGCGTTACGACTTCTACTCAGTTTGGTGAGTAATTATTTTAAGTTTAATTAATTTTTTTTTTTAATTTTATTTCATTTTTTTGGTAATTGGATCTATGGGAGGGTTTTTGGCATGGATTTAGATGGTAAATTGGGAATAGTTAATAAAAAATTCTTTAGACAATTTTCAATTCTTGGTGGATATTGATGGTGATTGGATTATGGGAAGAATTTTTGCATTAATTGGGTAGTAAGATAGACAATTTTTTTTATTCTGGATAGTTGGGTATTTTTAAGAATTGTAAATGACGAACATAGATCTGGTGGAACAATGAAGGATTTAATTTTGTAAAGCTCATGCTAAAAGCCAAGAATAAAAATAATAAAATAAAATAGGACATTTTGTGAAAAACGAACTACCTTAAAAAAAAAACACTTTTTTCGAGAAACTACTTAATAAAAAAATGTTGTAAGAAACTACCTTATAAAAGGGTAAATGTTGTAAGAGATTGTCACTGGTCGGAAAGTCGACGTTGACTTTTATTTTTCGGCGTTGATCACATCACGTGCCAATCAGGTGACTTTTAATTCACTATTTCCCTCCTTTTTTCTTAGTTAGCACATGATGTGGTCAACTCCAGAAAATAAATATCAACGATGACTTTTCGACTTAGGGTAATCTCTTATAACATTTACCTTTTTTATAAGGTAGTTTTTTTACAACAATTTTTTTTATTACGTAGTTTCTCGCAAAAAAAAGTGTTTTATAAGATAGTTTATCACAAAACGTCCAATAAAATATAAACATAAAACTTTATTATTATTAATACAAAGAAACTAGAAATTAGTTTATACTTTATAGAGGGCAAATTTGCTACAAACTTTGTTTCAGGTTCTGAAAAAGGTTCATTTTTACCTCTTAGAAATCGTTGTAATTGGATAATAAGTACTTGTATCATTTAGGAATGACTCTTGCCAATCTTGTGACTTAGGGCATGTTCTCATTGACTGAATTGAGCTGGGCTGAACTGAACTGAGTTGAACTTATTAAAGCTGAACTCAACTCAACTCAACTGAATATTTTTATGAGAGAAAGAAATTAAGATAAGAACTGAACTGAAAATAATCGTATGAGAACAGACCCTTAGTCTCACTTAATTTAAGGCATGTTCACACTTACTTAATTTCAGTTCAGTTTAGCTCCAATCAGTTCGTTCTGTTCAGTTCTACTCCTAATTTTCCTCTCTCATAAAATATTAATTTCAGCTTCAATCAGTTCAGTTTAGTTCCAATCAATTCAGTTCAGTTAAGTTTAGCTCAATTTATTAAATGTGAAGAGGCTCTTAGTTGGTCAGCACTTTTTTTTAAAAGAGTTAAGACTTTCTTTTTTCAAATTTTGTATCCAATAATTTGGTCCAACTCGACTATCAATGTCAAAAATGTATATTTTACTTGGATTGATAACTTGAGTATCAATGTCAAAAGGCTGCTCTATAGCAACACGAGGAAACCCCATTTAATTAATTTGATAAACAAAATTTGTTTATCAAATGGCAAAATGGTAAATAAAACAACATAAATGTCCAGTCATCATGACATTTTTGTAAATATATCAACATAGTGAGACCCATATTTACTAAAAAGTTGTTGATTTATTTACAATTTTGCCATTTGATAAACAAATTTTGTTTATCATATTAATAAACTTCTCTATTTTCTCATAGCAAAATATTGTGTAATTGAATTACCGTCTCACCCTAATAAAACACAATCGTGAGAGAAAAAAAAAAAAAAAAAAAAATTAAAAAACTTATTTGGTTGACTCATGTCTACATACATAGTTAAACCGGGCTTATTATTACCATTTTAATCTTAACTCTGTGTATTGCCAATAATAAACATCTCTTAATTATCGTTCACCTCATAATAATTCCTTCAACCTCTTCCAAATGGGCATACGCCTTTGTTGTCTTCTACTCACATACTACAATACAAGTAATTTAACATAGCTTAGTCTACAAGATACTGGGAAAATATACTTCATACAAACTATTAGACATATAATTGCTTCAATTAATTGTATGTTCAAAACGTCTCATATATAATTAAGGAAAATTGTAAACTAATAATCCCACCTTTGCCACTTCTGCTCAAAACAATCCCACTTTTTCGAATTCCCAAATAATCCCACCTTTGACCCCCATCTTCTCAAAATGAGTCTTTAACCGATTTGTTAAATTAGTGAGCTGTTTAAGAAGGTGACTTAACACATGTCACCTTCTTATTGGCTTTCTTTTTAAAATTTTTTTTTTTAAAAAAGGATAATTAAAAAAAATTAAAAAACCCCCTCGACCACCTCCCCTGTCGGAGCTCCGCTTGCTGCAGCACAAGCTCAACCAAACCACCGGCCTAACCCCTTCAAACACCTATACCCTCACCACAAAACAGCCGAAATCGACCAAAGAAGCCCTGTAACGGTCGATTTCGGTAGGTGATGGTGCGGTTTTAATTTCCATCGAAATCGACCATTGGATTTTTGGGCGTTCGATTGATAGGATGTGGATTTCTAAGCGGCGAATTTCTGGGCGGTGGATGTCGCGGCGGGTTTCAATTTCTGAGTGGTTGAAAGGAGGTTTCGAGGAGGGAGAATGAAGGAAGGGGTACAATGGCCGGCTTTACGGGTGGTGGTGTGCTGTTTTTCCCGATTTTGGTGGGACAGGGGGTGCCGACGGCTGGAGATCGGCGGTATTTTGGGGTGGCAGGAGTTCGTGGGCGGCGGTATTTCGTGGTGGCTGGGGTTCGTGGTTGGTGTTAGGGGGTTTTATGGGTGGATGGGATGGTCGGGGATAGGAGAGAGAAAGAAGGTGGTGGGGTTAGGTGGTGATGTGGCGGTGGTGGTTAGGAGAGAGAAAGAATGTGGTGGTGGTTATGGTGGTTGGTGTTAGGGGGTTTTATGGGTGGATGGGGTGGTCGGGGTTAGGAGAGAGAAAGAAGGTGGTGGGGTTAGGTGGTGATGTGGCGGTGGTGGTTAGGAGAGAGAAAGAATGTGGCGGTGGTTATGGTGGGAAGCTAAGGTTGAAGATGAGAGATTGAAAAAAAAATTATAAAAAAAAAAAAAAAAGTTAACCTGTTGAACAAGTTGTGAATTATAAGGCCTGTTTTAAGAAGATGAGGGTCAAAGATGGGATTATTTTAGAAATTCGAAAAGGTGGGATTGTTTTGAGCAGAAGTGGCAAAGGTGGGATTATTAGTTTACAATTTTCCTATAATTAATTCAATTAATTGTATGTTCAAACGTCTCATATTATTAGACATAAAATTACTATAATTAATTGTATGTTCAACGTCTTATGTTGACTATGTATTTAGAGGAATGTCTGAGAGCAAGTCTTAGCCAATATACAACTAATTTTTATTAACAGGCACAATATTCAGATCGATCGTAACTTATTTATAGTCTTACAAGAAAAATAAAAACCATGTGCTAATGTGCCATATCATTATTGCATTAGTAGTAAAAAAAAATAAAAAAAAAATAAAAAAGATAAAAAATAGTTATAGAAGTACTCCTATTAAACCACACAAAATAAATGCTTTGGTCCTTGGTCAAACTAGTGACCATAATTATTGGAAGAAAGTTTGAAGCTGGTTTAATTTGCAATTATGCAACAAAAAAAAATGTAAATAAAATTGGTATAGGGAGTATAGATTAGCATATACTATAGTGATTAAACAACAAACTAATGACAAGGCTATAATAAGCATAGATTATGAAGGACATATAAGGTGTAAGAAAAGCATGCCATCCAATTAATCTCCGTCTGATTTAAATTATTACGGAGATAAACTTGTATATTCTCTAAGTAATTTGGAAAAGCCTACAATAATATTAATTTTACAGAAATCGACTGTCATTACAAAATAATCAATTTAAAGTTCTCAACCATTTATTCGAAATAAAAACCAAAACCTTACGTCAATAATAACTCCGGAATATCAAAATTGACGAGATATTCCATTGACTATTGATTTTCCTTATGACAAATCCTAACCAACCAAGCAAGCCATACACTTGTTACATACCAAAAGTTAGTTAAGGAGCAGAGTAAACAGGACCATAAGTTTTGGCATCATATTCAGGCTCATTAAGCCTCTCTAGGTTAACATATGGTATGTCATCCTCCCTCTTCCTCTGATGAAACATGTTGGTGAGCGGCCCCGAGAAAGCAAGCCGGGGCCAGTATCCAGCACCAACGGCAGTTGCAGTTACTCCAGCGCCGCCATGAATGGGGCCCGATACATTGCCACGGTTCTTAGGAGTCTCCTTAGCTTGCTTCTTAGCCTTCTTGGATGATGATGATTTCCAAAATGAAAGGAAGGCAGATTTCCATGACTTCTTGCCACCCTTTTTCACTCCACTTGAACTCGCTTGGTTTTTGCCCCTTTTTTCTTCTTTTGCTTGCTTGTGTTTCTTCTCTTTGGCATATTTCTTAGCCTCTTCCAAAATCTGTTCAGATAAACACAAAGCAAATGAAAACTTTTGCAAATAAATTTAACAAGTCCGGCACCCAGACTTTAAAATCCTGGCTTCGCCCTTGTGTACATATGTATGTATATATTGCTTATACTATGTAATTATAAATAAAGGAGTCACTTTTGTCACAATTCTATGCATTTCAATATAAAAATAAAACATGAATTAAATAATAAACAACTTTCACAATTGATATCATGATTATTTATTAATGCAAAGAATGTATCTTGGGTTCAATCAAGCATTGGAGAATTGAATTGTTATTTTTCCTGACCTCTTTGAAATCAGCCTTGGCATCATAGTCACTGCTGCTCCTGCCATTGTTCGCGGTGTTGCAAGACTCGAAACCAGGGAAAACAGAGGAATCCTTCATTTTCTCTGCCAAAAAAAAGGTTAAAAAGCAAGATTAGTTTGATTTCCTGAAGTTTACCAAGGAAAATGAATATGTTTATAGAGTAAAAAGGACTAACCTTTGATGAACCTCTTAGTTTTTCTTAAGGTGTAACCCAATGTACTTAAGTCAGTGTTAAAAAAAAAAGTCAATAAATAGTGTTGAGAAATTATAAAAACAGAAGTAAATCATATATTTCCATATTAAGAGATAGAAAGATGATTTTCTACCAAGTTTATTTTGTTTTATCAAATTGGTAGAGTTTTTATTATTATTTTTTTTAATTAGGGTCTGTTCTCTTCAGCTTAATTTCACTTTAGCTCAGTTTAGCTTCAATCAGTTCAGATCAGTTTGGCTCCTAATTTTCTTCTCTCATAAATGATTCATTTCAGCTCTATTCAGTTAAGTTTAGTTCAGCTCCAATCAGTTCAGTTCAGCTCAGCTCAGTAAATAAGAACAGACCCTTACAACTATGTACCAATTAATTAAAAGGACTGTTTAAGGTTATTTGGAAAGGTGAAGAGTGTAGCAATTGGCAAATTAACCCCACATTTTAAGGAATCCAACATATGCCACCTCAGTCTTTGTTAGGGAAAGGTATAATTTTGGAAACTTGAGATATTAACGATACGGCAGATATTTGTACCATTAATAAAGATACGATCGTATCGTTATAAACATATAAATAGTATTCACATGACTATTTATAAATAAACAAGCCCAATGTTTAATATTAGGCCCAAAGTTTGGAGCTCTCGGTTTTCACAATCCAGGCATAGCATATTTTTATTGTATATTTACCGTAATTTAAATAAAACTCTTTTATATTCAAGATATTCCATCAATTATTTCTTTTAAAAAGAATTAAAAAAAAAAAGAAAGAAAGAAATACCATCAATTAGATAAGGATTGTTTGATAAACTTAAGCTATTGTCTTAAAGTTAAAAAATACTTGCATGTAATTATTCTAGTCTCATGTTTGAATAGATAAAATACACTACTAAGCACCATTAGCAAATAGTAATTACTACGTAAACTAAAACTATTTTTGTAATCCTAAGATCGACATTGGTTCTACTACTAGTCTTCTACACTTCTACTTTGCTTGTATGTCATATTACATGGAGTACATTTTACTTTGTTTCTAAATTTGGGAGAATCCAAGACAAAATTTTCGACCAAATTAAAAGGTCTATGTCATGTCACTTTAAAAAATCTGTATTTGAAAATGATAGTGCTCAATTTGTAGCAAATTGCAAATTTGGACAATATTAACAAATTGGAGTCCATTTCCATGGTAAATCAATGTTCCGGATTTTGCATGTTATTCTTTTAAAGGCTTAAAGTATCCGTGAACTTATTCGATTAGAACTCTATTTTATTTAAAGATAATAAAGGGACATCTGAGAGATAAAATAATGAAAATTTCTTAATTTAAATATCATGAGGTTTTCCTTAAACCTTGGAACATAAGGGCGGTGTCATTATTCACTATCTCAACCTTACTTCAACTAAAACTCTACAATTATAATACCGTTTTAACAATAAAAGAAACAAATAAAAGGGACACTATTTATATATTTTTAGTATCTATATCTATATACGAAGTAATGTATTGAAGTATTGAACTCATCAATTAATGTTTTAAAAAAGTAACAACTTAATACAAATATAACTTGTTGAGCTAATATGAATTGGGCCGGTACAAGGCCCAAAATTACACTAGGGAGATTTTTTTTTTTTTGAAATAATGACGACAGATTTTTTGGAAACTTGAAGATAAAATACTGTGAGTTAATAGCCACATGCTGTGGCGGATCTTGAAACATTTTTTATTAGGGGCCGAAAATTCTTAACATCTTCTATTGTGTACAATATACATCATAGCATTTCACACATATTAAATAAATTAAATTTAATACTTCGTACCAAGCAAATATTTGATAAGTTTGGCTCATGTTATGAGACGTGACAAAGTATAACACTGGTTGTTACCGGCTTACCAAGCAATTACTCGTATGTGATAAACAAGAAAATTTGTAATATCAATTTTGCGTTTATAATCATTTATGATTTATAGTGTCCGACCTTATATATGATATAGTGATATACATAGTACTCCGTATAATGTTTGATTTACGTTAAAATTGATGGGAAAAAATCAATTTTTTTTTTACATAACTAAAGAATTTCAATACCATATATTGAGTAAATTTTGATAACATGAATTGACAATCATTCACAAATTTGTTGTCAAATTGTTAAAAAAAACTCTATCATTGCAATAGTGTTGCATGCTCATAGAGATAGAGAGAGGAGAGTTAGTAATAATAAAACAGTAAAAGTGGCCCACTTTATCATTATTAGTTGTCAGATTGTTAAAAGAAACTCTTTATTTTACTAATATGTAAGCTTATGTGGTAATTGGGGGTGCTTTTCTTGTTTTGGGCTTCTTTGTTAAACAGTCCATTTTTTTTTTTCAAAAACTTCAGGGGCCAAGCCCTTGTGAGCCTCAATGAAGGTCCGTCTCTGGCCACATGTTAATAGTTTACGATGTTCAAAAAATGTTTACACAATTATATTAGGTCTTAATCTATTCATCTTATTTCTATTTATTTCAGCAAAAATAATTTTAGATAAATTGTGATCATGATTAATCATGGGCTCATGGCTATCGAAGTTCAATTTATAACTAAAATAAATTTTGGCTAATAAATCCAGATAAGTTCAAATAAGATCAAATAAATTCTATAAAAATATTACAATAGAGCCATTTAGTAAAATCATAAAGAGTGGTTTCTATTGAATGGACTCAATTGTCATACAAAGCATTCATAAAAATCTCCAATTCCAACCGAGAAAGTACTTAAATATCATATCTTCAATTATTACGATATATAAATATTTATTTTCTAACATAATGTAGGACCAACAATTCAAATGATTCATTACATATTACGGAGTACATATCAATTTCATTTATAGCAACAAAAACGATTGATTACTCGACTTGAAAAAAGTTGGAACACAAGATGGAATATATAAAAGGATAATACAAAGAAAAATGCCTATAACAGATGGCAAAATTATTAATTTATTTAATAAAAGGAAAATGACATGAAAATTAAGGGCATTTGGGCCTGCCATTTGGGGCCTTCCAGTCCCTATAACAAGGGCATTCATCCAAATGACCAGAAGTCCCAGAAGGAACACAGCTGCACTTCCCACAACACATCAAGCAATATTTCATACACCTTGAGTTTATCCCCTTTAGTGCGCACCTTACTCCACATTTGTTGTTGCAAAATCCTACATGCACAATTCCATAAGAGAGAGATATAGAGTACGGCAAATGCCAATATTTTGTATGAGACAGACTTACAATAACTTACAATGTGATGGTACGGTATTTTTTTTTTTCTTTATTTTTACACAAATATAGTTGTTAGTTTGTCACAAAACCTATTTAGTCCACAAACTTCATTTTACTTACAATTATACTCCCCTCCTCGTGACGATGACTTCCTAATATTTCTTTTACTTGATTAAATCTAAAAATTAAAAGTTACCGGGTACACATATATAATAAACTCGTCTTATATTAGTATTGACATGTTGATGTACTATAACCAACACCAACAACAAAAAAAAAAATTGTATTTTCTACGTTTAACTTTGGAATATTTTATACATGGTATCTCCCAAATAATACCCTAAAATTGTAACTAAAAGTTAACGAAAGTAGTAAAAGTAAAGTAGGTGGAGAAGTTACCTGGAGCAGTGGCTAAGGAAGTAGGTGATTGAGCAGATGGCTGAGGTGAGAGATCTGCATTAGAGATATCGAGCAAGGTAGAGCAAAGGATTAGGGTGATTACAAGAATAGCTGCATTTGAGCTCTTCATTTTTATATATTTTGAGAGGATGTATAGAAGCTTAACTTAGATGTTTATAAATGTATGATAATAATGAAAGTTATACTAAGTTTGAAGGTCCATGCCATAGTGCACATACATATATATACTCTGTATTGATGTGATACATTCTAGTCTTTTTCTATTTTTCTTTCTTTCTTTATGGAAGCCAACTTGGATTCCTGCTCTACAATTATGTGTCAATCAATTACAACCTAATAAGATATAAAGCCAACCAAAGTATCTAAAATTGTGTGCCATTGCCAGTTAATGTTGCGACTAATTTAGAGTGGAGGGAGTGGTTTAGAAAGGGTCAAATTTTGTTTGTGTAATAAGTATCATTAATTTCATAATAAGAAACAAAATTATAGTTATTTTTCTATACTCATAGAAATAATACGCACTTTATTCAAATCAAGTTACGAGAAAATACTATGGAATATGACGGAAAAAAAGTAATTGTGTTTCCTGCTATTAAGGGTCTGTTCTCTTTAGCTTAATTACAGTTCGGTTCAGTTCAGCTCCAATCAATTCAATTCAATTTAGTTTCTAATTTCCTTCTCTCATAAATAATTTAGTTCAGTTTAGTTCACTTTAGCTCAGTTCAATAAATCAAAACATATATTAAGTGGCTTTTGTTAAAAAAAAATAAAAATGGGACAAAAACGCGTGAAGTTGTTCAACTTTATGAAGTATGACTGTATGAATAATTATTTAAAGGATGAAAGTCGGGAACCATAATAAATAGTCAGTGGTCTTTAGTCCAAATTAGTCAAAACTCAATATATTTTCATGTACTCATGCATAGATGCATGATAGAGGTGTACTATAAAATTAAGCTATGTTTGTATGATTTGTCATTTTGTTATTGTAATTAGCAATTTTATCATACATCTTTTATGGGACAATGGGTGCATGTGCTTTCAACGTAAGTAAACAACTTGTCATCTTACCATTTGAGAGCTGGCTAGATAGAGATATCTAATGAAACTTCCAAGAGCTTTACAATATTTTCAAGAATTTTAGGTGAATTATCTTTATCCGAGTTAATTTTAACTTCAAAATAATCGCAACACTTTAATAATCTAAACTCAACAGAGTATTTTTATTTATCGTCTATTGATAATAGTAACACCAACACTAGCTACATGTCGGCGCCTACACGAAGCTACAACTCTGGGAACAACTTGAAAATTACACGCCCAAGTGAGGAATAAACCTTAGAGATGTGCAGCATGCATGCAGTAGATCTGATGCCTTGAAGGTTTGAAGCATATCACATGGCCTAGCTAAGCACCAACATTAAACGCTTACCAACATTTTGGGCTTATACGTTGTACCGCTTGTAACCTTGTAGGCCCAATACGCAGCCCACATTTAGGGATATAACATGTGAATAAGTGAATTAAAGTTTCCTTTCCTTTAAAGTTTTTTTTTTTTTTTTTTTTTTTTTTTTTTGGCTATCCAGAATAATCCATCTACGTAGTAATTGATTAAGTTCAAGTGTTATGTTGTGGCAAATTAAATTGAATTAAGGTTAAATATGGTTCCTAAACTAATGTATTTGTAGTGTTTTAGTACCTCAAGTATTGAGTGATGTAATTTGATTTCTCAACCACAAAATAGTACTATTTTCGGCCAAATAATGTAGAGTCCTTGTCTAGTCAGCAAATAATTTAAGAACCTTGCCTAGTCATCAATGGTTGTATTTTGACAAATGACGAGTGTAAAAATCAAAATATTATTGCAATGTCAGCTTCAACTAAAAAAAATACAAGTATAGTTTAATTATCTCCACAAATTTACTTTCATCATATATTCATATGTGTTTTGTCTATGCAAAAACTATATCAAAGTATGACATCAAGAAATTAACATTAAAATAAAATTACACACACGAGTAGAGACACTTAAGCAAGTGAGCCAAATTGTAAATTTAAGGGCACTTATCAGTGCCTTTCTTGTTCTTCCAGTCTCTATAACAAGGGCACTCGGCTTTATCGGCTAATGGACCTGAAGGTACACACTTGCACTTTGAGCAACACATTACACACAATTTCTTACACAAGTTTCGTGGATTCCTGGAGCATCTCCACGCACATTTGCTTGGGCATAATTCCGGGGCTGTATAATTCCCTGGACTCGATATGATCAACAATGAACAAAGGCGTAAATTTTTATTCATGAATTGTTATTACTCGAACCAAATATTATTACTTATTCTTAGATGCACTTGAGAATACTCAAATGTGCCTAAAGCTAAGGGCTAAGCTTTTTTTTTGTTTCTTTTTTTCCTTGATACCCTAGACAAATGAGCAATACATGTATCATGTCTTCCTTCTCACATCAAATTAGTCATTCTCGATATTTTTGATAATTTTTTTAAAATATAGGGGACATACATGATGGATTTTATTTATTACTTTGTATTATTTAAGATGTCGCGTGGGACAAAACACAACTTAGATATACATACGAATATTTTTATGCCCTAGATTTATACTTAACAACCCATTTCAATCGATTTATTTCGAATTATATTAATTAATGAAAGAGATTGACAATAATTAAATTACCTACGGCAGGGGATGATGTAGCATCAACAATGTCAAGGGCCAAAGAAGTTAGGACGAGGGAAATTAGAAGTAAAGATGGAAATGAAAACTTATTCATTTTTCCCGAGATTAATTTGTGGGAATTAAAATGTTAATATATACTTGTATTTTCTTTGGCGTGGTTTGAATATATAAAAATAGATAAGCTTAACATTTTCTTTCCTTATTACGGCTGTCATAAGCGGTGAGCCTTAGAATTATGCCTGTATGCCAATCGTTACATTTTGGACTGTTACCAAAAATAGATTTGCACTAAATTTTGATGTTATCCAAATCGAGGAAAAACTATGAATGTGTAGCTAAATCTTCTTTTTTATATAAAAAAATGCGGAGTAATAATTTATAATATCGTTCTAAAGTTGTCTTCAAATGATTAATAGCTAACTCAAAAAATAAAAAAATAAAAAAATACAAAGTATAAGTTTCCGATAAAATATCATTTTTTAAATGATAAAAGTAGCTTTTGAGTAAAAATCAAATTATAGTTAGTGAATAACTATATTACCCCTTTTAAACTTACCTATAGTCTATTTACGTTAATATCATATTAGATCTAATTTTACAGTTTTCTCGCAAAAGGTTAAAAGAAATGTCAAATTAAATTAGCTAGAGAAAATACAAGTTTATCAATATGATAAATAAATTTGTTTATCAAATGACAAAATTGTAAATAAATCAACTTTTTATTAAATATGGGTTCCACTGTTGTTGATATATTTACGCAAATGTCATAATGATTAATGACTGGGTATTTATGTTAGTTTTATTTGCCATTTAATAAACAAATTTTGTTTATCAAATTGATTAATTGGGGCTTCCATCTAAAAAATTACCTTTTTTTTTAAAAAAAAAAATGTGCACTGTTATTATTATGCTGTATTATAAAGTGGATATACACAAAAGTTTTTGCTAAAATTTTAGGTCCATCATGTGCTTATTTAACTCATACACTGTACTCTAGATCGACCATATATCTTGTGGGTTTTTCATGTTCTCTGGGAGTATCTCATGTCAAATTAAATTTCGTGGTTGTCCGTTCTTTGATTGTTTGATATTATAAAGTTTAGTTCACTATTATTTTCACATTATTGTCACACTACTAATACATGTATTGATGTATACAATCAAACGTTTCAAGTTACACAAAATTTATCCTACCAATATACTCAACATTTAATATAAATAACTGAATAAGGCATATAAAGCCATAACCAAACTTTATCAACATCAAATTACATCCACACTCTCATAGCTATAAGATGAACATAAATCTATAATAATTTATGGGCTGATGACAATCAATATATGAAGCCCTATATATATATATATATAATTATCATTATTTCTTACTAATACTAATAACCATTACACAAGATTTAGGATTATAATGATGGATTAAGGAAATTATTCAAATTAAGCATAGACACGTAGGATTTGTTGGTCTAAATTAAAATTTAAGGGCACTTAGATTGGCCTTCGTCGTTCTTGAGGTCTCTGTAGCAAGGGCACTGGCTTTTGTCGGCGAAAGGACCATTGGGAACACATTGGCATTTTTTACAACAGTGCATACATAATTTCTTGCATAAGTTCCTTGGATTCCTTGAGCATCTGTATGCGCATTTATCCACACAAAATCCTGGCACTGTAAACGTTTATCCCAGATTAGTTTATGTGACAACTAAATTTAAGCGAACTAGAAAACAATTAAAAAAATATCATAAAGCCGCGTAGGCTTATGAAGTGTACTTATACTAAAGTTTAGTATCAAACAGTCAAAGTGTACTCTTTGAAATTATTTTCTTGACCTATTTTGACTAGTTTGTACTTAATATAATCTAGATTAGACTCACACGAATGATGATTACTTACAATTAAAAAAAAAAAAAAAAAAGAATTAGTCAAAGTGACCGGTGATTTCGTTGACTAAATATACATAGTCTTCCGATCTTTGGCTATTTTTGTTGTAGTGTTATCACCATATAGGCAATAGGCCCGTCTAAAACACTTAATTCCAAACCTTATCCCTTTACTCGAAATGAGAGGATTTTTTTAAGTTCAACCAAACGATGATAAGCTCTACTTACAACGACACTAGAACACGATGTAAAACTCAAAACAAGATAAAGCTAGTTAGTAGAAGTACCTCCAGGAGGGGCTTGAGTAGGAGAAGTAGTAGGAGAAGCTGAAACAGCATCAACAATCTCAATGAAAGCACAAGTTATAACAAGAGAAATTATAACCAAAGTTGGAACTGAAAACTTCATTTTTTTTTTTCTTTGTTAGATTTTCTTAAGCAAACTATATAATAGTATGAATTTTTGTTTCGGATGTAAGTGTAGAATGTAACCAAACAAAAAGGGGATATTTATAGATAAATAAAATGTAAATGTAAAGTTTATGACATAAATAATTCATTTAAGAAGATGGGCAGGATAAATAATTACAGTAACAGCTGGAGCCAATTGTAAACACGGAGTACAAAAAATGAGGGAATTACATTGCAAAAATGAAAAAAATAATAATAATAAAATTGGTCGGTTGTTTAGTAATCAGTGTCCACGTGAGGAAGGTAGTAAGAATGTAAGATATGTAACCTCCAACTCACACTGTCTTGCTATACTAGTAACAAAGGTACTACTACTATTTATTAGGGGTGGGTGTAGCAGGGTACTCTGTAAAAATATTAGGATCTGGAACCGGAACCTGTTGCAATAGGTTTCTAAAAATAGGAATCGGAATAAGAATCGGAACCTGTGCAACAGGTTTCTAAGAATTGAGAACTGGAACCGGAACCTGCAGGTTCCGGTTCCTAAACAGGGTACCCTGTCTGTCAAAGTAAGTTTAATAGTTACTTGATAAATTGTGAGAAATTTATTTTTTTAAAAATAGATGATCACAATAAAAGCTTACAACTTTAGTATAGTACTTCAATATAACAAACCAACACTAATTGTCTAGAATTTTTAATACATATAGGTTCCGGTTTCATGTACCCTATAGGAACCTATACTAACAGGGTACCCTACAGGTTCTAGATCCAAAATTTTATTACCCGGAACCGGAACCTGTTGCAACAGGTTCCTAATTTTATTACCCGGAACCGAGTTTGGTTCCGGGTTTTGAAACCTGCGATTTTGAACAGGTTCCGTTCCATATCAGGGTACCCTGAATTTTTGCTCACCCTACTATTTATGCACTTTAACTCACTCTTGTTAAATTTTTACGCGTTTTGCTTCATTATTTAGGAGCCATATAAAGAATTATGTAGGTAGGCCAATGTATGTTGATCACAATAATTGTAGGTTATTATGACTCGTTGTCTCCACTCGATACAAGGTTAGGTTAGCATGTCTATAATGCACCCTTTATTACGAGTGAGGTTGTGAATAAACTTATACGTTTTTGTAAGCTGGTAAGCTAATTATGTTCAAAGTTTGTCATAACAAAATTAACTAAGTTTCAAAATAGTGAATCACTGAATGAGCCTTATTCGACTATACGTTTCTGTTTATGAGTAGCTCAATCTTGTACTCTAGCTAGTATAATTCCAACAAGCTAAATTGCCTAAATACAGTGCATCCATTATTAGTCATGGGTGCATTTTGTTAGTAAAAATATATGTAGTAGGAGGGTAGCCATTTTATAGTAAGAATTCATTGCATGATTTGTTATCCTCAATAATAAGGCATAGTATATATCAGGAAAGACAATATTGAATACTTATTCAAATTTGAATATACAAGTGCTCTTTATATGTTATACAAAAGTCGCTATTTATAGCTATCCAATCAACTATTTGATCGACAAACCTCTATAAAAATGTAAGACTAATGGAACATTTTTAAAGCCGGTGAAGATTATAATTGTATTTCACTAACAATAACCTGGAGAGTTTTTCAGAGCATCTATTGAAAAAAGAACCGTTGACAGAGTTGACCACTACTGCATACATAGTACGTGCATGCGCCTTGAACATAAAATAATTAGTCGGGCAACAAGTACCACACATTTATGTACCTTTGTAGTAGTAGAATAGTAGTTGAAGGTCAATTAATTAAGTTTAAATGTTGATTAGTGGAGTATAATATTATTAATGGATCAAAATGATAGGACTTGGGATTTGGGAAGTGAACAACGCAGCCAAGACGATTAGATACCGTATATTGTACTACTACTATAACATGTTGATTCTTTTAAAATAATTATAAACAAAACTAACTTGTACCAATATTTCTATTATATATTTGGATATACATAGATATGGATGCACTTTAGAGTATTCTTGCTCCATTTAATAATTTTGTCTCATTCCTACACCAAAAAAGCCTTTATAAGTACCTAGAACAAGCTCTAACTATATTATTACATGTATTTTTTTAAAATTTTAAATAATTACAAGCTAAGTATATAATCTGTACGATTAGTACAGTGTCATTAATTATTTTAGTAAGGTTGGTCACAAACATAAAAACTTCCGTGGGATATGAGGATTTATGTAATTCATTTTTCACATTTGTAAGAGTTTGCCTACTTAAGTATTCGGATTGATACGGTTAATCAGATACCCTTTTGTTTTTAAGTGACACTAGCACTTTTTTATGCGTGTCGGATTGTCAGTGCATATATTTTGCAACTATTATCATTAATTTACTTATGTGTGTATTAGTAAAAAAAATAAAAATAAAAAATAAATAAATAAATTAAAATTATAAATATACACATTTGAGACTCATCCACTTTTTTTTTTTTTTTTTTTTTTTTTTTTTTTATATAATAGTGTTTAAAGAGCCACACCCAAGTCCTCTTATTTTTGAAAGGGAGCTCTAAATTAAAATACGTAGTACAAATTTGTAAATAATGTAAAAAGTAAATGCAGTTAAAAACAAAAAAAAAAACAAAAGAGGTACGTATTTTGTATTTAAATAAGAGGGGAATACTACTAAATACTAATCGTATTTATAAGTCTAATAAATTATTTTATTATCATATAGAAACCCTCTGTCTTGGTATTCAAATACAATGTATGCAGACAATAATACAGTCGTTCAGAGGTAGATATGTACAAATATATTTTTGGGAGGGGTGGGGAGAAGTGCCACTTATAGATGAAATTGGGGGAAACAATAAAGGAACAACACTTCAGAGGGCTTCTACCAGTTTGTTAGTCACCAATTCACCATACAGGAAGGTTCCTAGTTCCTAGTCTTCCTACTTCATTTACGGAGTATTAAACTAGAGTACTTTTTGTAGTCATAAACATAGAGATGAATAAACTTTCTTGCCCCATTTAATAAGCCTATAGAATAGATGTGTCAATTTGTATAAACGAATTGATCCATAACGGGTTGGCCGTGTTTGGGTCAAATATATTCAGTTTAAAATTACCGTGTTAACCAACCTCAGGTCAGTTCGAGTCACTTTCAAGTTGGGTCAAGATTTGTCGGGTCCAGGTTAGGTCTAGGCCGATCAATTTCAGATCGGTTCAAAATTGGTTCAAATAAAGTTGAATCGAGTTGGTTTCAGTTCATGGAAAAAATAGAAAGAATCAATGTTGCTC